AAACAAACTCACTTTCCGATTTATAATATTAGTAAGGATTAGTAAGGATAACACGAAAAAATAATAAAAGGACGGTTACAACCAATAATGATTTTATTTTTCCTCTTTGGAATGGGGTTTGCAAGAAGGAAGCTGTGATAGGCTATAAAGTAATTCAAAGGTCGTAATACTAAGTGCTGTGATACTATTATTAAAGTGGAAGCTCTATAAGAACCTGTTTCTTCGAGTACCTTCCAACTTGCGCGGGATGAGAAGCCGTTCAATAGTCTAATGTTACTTTCTATCTCTTCAAAACAAGCAAAAACCTTTGAGAGACATGTTCTAAATCTTCCATTTTACGGTTTTTGAGCTCTGGATCAAATAAAATCCAATACAGTTGGTTTAGGCTGTAGGTATTTACGCTTTATCTAGTTAGTCATACAATTTCAATCTCTCCGCTATATAACTTAGAAGTGACATTTGAGTGTACATTTTTCATTCAAATCAGAGCTTTTAGTTTGCAAGAGTACCCAGTTGTATACGAATGTAAGTACATAGTATTTACATATATTTTGATGTGAAACGGAGCAGTTTCCATAGTCCTACATTTCAATAGTATAGTTACTTAGTAAACATAATCTAAAGATATGTATCTATTTTTAGGTTAGGTACTAATTGCTACGTTCACATGTACCTAAAAATAAACGATACTTATGTTATACATAATATACCAGTAGATATCGTTTTTATTGTCTAGATGACGACCAGTCTAGACTCTCGACTGCGTGGTACCGTATCAAATTTCCCAGGAAACATACGTGTGAATAATCGCCTTTATAGATTCTTTAATACAGCGTTACTTGGCATTGATAATTTGCATCTAGACATAGATAACTGATTCTTGATAGAATAAAAATTTAAATAAAATTTGTAAAATGTGACGTTCATTTTTGCCCTACTTACTCGATCGTGGGATTTAGGATCGAATGTTTGGTATTGAAGTCGTTCGGTGAGGATTAATAATATTTATTTATTAAAGGTATGTACACATAGTCAGGTAACATAACTTTCAATTAATTATAATAACGAAATCGATTCTTCCTAATCTGTACAAAACGACGATACAGAAGATTTTCGCGCATCACCTAATCCAATTTCCCAGAATCATATTTTAGACATCCACGGCAGGCATATAAAGCTGATCCCTTGGGGAGCAAAAAGTTTAAGACATTTTTTGTCACACCTATCACGTCCGTCTCTAATTGTTCCATTCAGAAAAGAAACTAAAAGTGTTCTTAATCCTATAATGTTATTCGATGCGTGGCGCGCCGGCCGGCGCTGCGCCCGCGCTCGGCTATTCACCGTCGATGCTTTTTTATTCGAATCCGTGTGAATAATAAAGGATTTTATGTCATAAGTTGTTAGAGCCCTCGGTTTGATTTATATGTCTGCTCGCATTAAACGGCTGTACCTGGCGTTTGAGGAACTTTACCTTTTTCTGTTCCCGTTTTTTGTGTGAGCGCGGCATAATGCGGGCGGTGCGCCGGCGCCGCGATACAAGCGCTGATCAAAGCGATTGGAGACGATTAAACTTAGTTGATATATAGATGGTCAACAATACACAGCGGCGCCTCCCAGTCGCGGTACACATTTCAAATGACGAATAATGCTCGTACGTTGATTAAATTGGTTTTCTTGTAATGCATTCTTGTTGTGCATCCAACCAAATGCAACAATGATGGTATTATTTGTGTGCGACGGGAAGTTCATGTTTTTTGCCGAAATGTTAGGCTAACCTACAGGAGATGATGTAACCGATGACTGAATGAAATTAATTAATGAGTGCAGTTAACAACTTCAGACAATTACACTTCAATTTAACTTGTAATTTGTCTGTGACAAAGAGTGCCGAATTTTTTGTTATTATGTATAGGTCGTTCGATATTTTGTGGGTTGTAGTTTTAGTAGGTGCTATAAAATAATAAACGTCTGGTGCGACTTTTAATGCTGGACGCATAGCATTGTAAAACTTTCACAAAACGGGAATTATAAGCTAACAAGCTGTGTGTCCGATGAACAATTGTGAAACTATGACCTACCCTATAGGTACCTATTATATAGAATCATAGTTATTAATAAAATAATTAAGTAATACAATTTACCTTACAATAACATCCGGGACGTATAAAATATTACGATTGAACAATATTGATCAATGACATCATTTGGAACATTAAAAGCTTATAATTCCAGGGATTCTTCTTAGAAATCGGTCACACAAACACCTTTAAGGTGCGTTCATAGATCACAGGACCCGATATATACAGGCTGTTCTATAATCGATACTAAAATGTTTACCAATCAATCGATTTATTGTATTAAAAACACTTAAGAGGATTTTACTGTGTTCTATTTATCAATTCTTAATATAGCGTTCACGATTCGTTAATCGATGTTTCGATGGAAGTAACACATTTGTTTCGCGTCCCACTATACAAGTTTATGGCTAGACAAATAATTGTTATGAATACTCAATCAGTTGCGAATCGTAATTGTGTTTATCATTTGTCAATAATAGTGTAGACATTATTTATTACTATAGTTATTTATTATAATAGTGTTCATCTGCATAACAGCCAGTAATCATCCGTCGTAAAACTACGCATTGATGAATAATAAAAATATTTACAACATGTCATAGATATTCATATTGTGAATTATAACTTATATTAATTTATTTTTATAACTTAACTGCACTTGTAAAAATGTACAATGACAAAAATGTACAACGTATCTCGACTGCAAGACAAAATAAAATATAATAAAAAAAAACAAAAGCATAATAAAATAAAAAAAAAATATTTTACCAGATTAAAAAGATTAGCTGCAATTTTATATCCCAATTAAAATAAACCCGCTGTATAAGCGTGAGCGTTGTAGACGGTATGTCGCTAAGGGTCGTCTTAACGCCTATTATGAACTCATTTTTTTGACAGCCCTACGAACAAAACGTCCAGGGAATGAATGAAATTCCTTCTCCGAGGTATGCTAAGCGCCCCTGTAGTAACAGAAAAAATAGACCAATGATTTAAAAAGGACTTCCTTTTGTCGTAAAATTTTTCTTTCGCGTCCAAGAATGTGAGATCCTTTGGAATTAATGGCTCTACTGTTATTTATAATAAAATGTATTATTATAGTGTTTGTGTTTGGCCCAGTAGCCGCCTGTTGGGCTGTGGTGCTCGATGTCCGACCTTCAATTAAGTTTTAGAACCTTTCGGTTACGAAATTTAGGGACTTTTTATGACTTTATCATCGGAAGGTTTGCCTGATGGTACATATGTTTGAAAAATGCATGTACTATTTATATGTATAATTTGTTTAGTAGTTTTATTCTCAGTTCGATACTTGAAATACTCATCGTCTATTTTTAGGTCAATACTAGACTACTTGGTACTTAGATATACAACATAATAAGCATACTTATAGGATTTATATAAGAAAAATCGAAATCAAATGTCATAAGACGATTAACTCACTTCCTCTTTAGAAAAAGACGTAACTTTATTACTTTTTTCCACTATGACAATGTAAAAACATTCCTAATGTATGTCTTACATATATGCCAACATCTTTCATGTATATTCATGTTAAAATAGCTTACAATTTGCACAAGTAATATGTTAATATAATGGATTGATTGCCTTGATTATAAATCAAACCTCTAATTAAGCCTTCACAGAAACCAATAAAGTGTAGGAAGCTTATATTTAACTATATTTTCTTTCAATGAACTCACTGAACGTATAATCAAATTATTTGTTTATCATATATTTTAGTTTTATTACAATTTATTATTATTAGACCAATCACCAAGACCTCTTTGGTGTACAAACCTACGACAAACTTTTAAATAAAAAAAAAAAAAAATGAAAGCAGCATGCGCAAGTATCCATTACAAATTTAGAATTCAACGGACTTCCTGTCTATTTTTAAATAGAGAATGGTGTCGGTACAGCAAAGAGGTTTTTCAAAAATATAGGTACATTTATTGTTAAAAATAGTAATTGAACATTGGCACCCACATGTAGCGCCTACGTTTCGCAGAAGGTTGTGGATGGTATACGTTCAAGTTTGTATGGCCATTGTGGGCCGCACAAATGGGCGGAAGCGCGTTGATTTGAGATGGGCACCATGTGCGCCGGCGCCTCGAACTCAACCTGGCGCCGCGTACACTGCGATACGTGAGGAAATCTCTACGATCGTACCTGGTTGGTTTATTCGCTGACAAGTATTCTGCCTAATTTTTTATTGCCGCTCAGAGGTCGTTGGAAAAAATTCTTTTGTCTTTGATTTTACATTCCAATTGGACTACAAAAATAATGTTACAGAGTTGAATTGTTTCATAGTCGTTAGTTTTATAAACTTAAAAAGGGAGGAAAACCTTTTTTGAGTCATCTATTTTGGTTGACAGTCGACACACAATCGAATTCTACAAAAGCCTGTCTAAATTTAATTTCATTAACTAGGTACCGAGAAGGCAGGTTTTACAATTGTTTACAAACAGATGGCCGTGAGACGCCGCCATAAAGATTGAAAGAAAGCGCATTGTAAAAGGATTATAAAGATTGGTATTGCGGCCGTAGTAATCCGAAACACATGTGGTGTGAGGTGTCGCGTCTGTGAGCGGTGGCTGGTAGTAACGGTTCTGTGGTGGAGGCGCGGTGCGTGACTCATCTCTCGTTCATTGAGCGGTGGTCCATTGAGCCGCGCTTGCGCTCATTACCGCTCCGCCGGCCGGCCCTGCGCACACGCAAACAGCGCGCCGCTCGCGGACCGACTACACCGACGCACTGCCTACGACATGTTGGCTCCCATCTCTAGATACGACGTGAGTTTAGCCTACGACATCCGCTCCGGCGAAGCCTACGGACTAAAATTAACGCGACGCCTTATTTGAACGACAGCAATTTAATTGCTGCGAATTTAATATATTTTATTAATAACGAAATTTATTGTTGCAGATGGAGAACTTATCGAAATCGCATATCTGGCTCGCAGCTGCAGCCATCCTGGCGACGTGCGGGGTGTGTGCTGGCGCTGGTGTCGGCAATAGAAAGCCGTTCACCCCAACCGATTCGATCCTGGATATTATTGATACTGAACAAGTGCAGCGATTCCTCGCGGAAAGACAGCGAGCGGAACAGGCCACTGCATCGTCATCTACGTCTTTTGTGCAAAGAAACGAACTCGGTGATGGCAGTTCTGAGACGGGTATGGTGGTGTCTCTGCCTGAGCAGGAAGATACTACGGAATTGCCCCCGGGAGTCGAATTCAGAAAAATACTAAAATCATCAAAGAATGCTTTAGTCGTTACTAAGAAAGATTATCTCAAGGAAGATTGGTGTAAAACCGAGCCTCTGGTTCAGAAAATCCGAGAACCGGGTTGTCTGCCCACAACAGTGATAAACAAATTCTGCTACGGACAGTGCAACTCGTTTTACATACCGAAGGGCCCGCGGCGACGCGACAACAACGCTGACCGGCCACAGCCAGCCTTCAAATCTTGTTCGTTTTGTAGGCCTAAGAAGTTTACTTGGGTGACAGTGACTCTGCGTTGTCCCGGTCAGAACCCGCCATTTAGACGCAAGCGGTTACAGAAGGTCAAACAGTGCAAGTGTTTACCAGTCGGAGTGAATTGACGTTAGTAGTGAGACGGACCTGCAGTAACAGAGGCGGCACGACCGCCAGCTTGCGACGCACTAGTGCGCACGGGACGCCTGGCTGTCCAGGGCGACGCCAGACGCCGGGAGCACCGACAGGCTCGGATGCTCCACATCGTACATCGTTACCGTTGATTGTTTCGATCACGTTCCAGTGTATAGACTGTGTATGAACTGGTCAAATAAATTGAGATGCCGTGCTCTCATACGTCAATGCGGATGACGTAATGTGATGCATAGATTAGATGCCTATTTAGAGTTACATTGTAATAGAGCGGCTTCGACTGCAAGTCGTCGAGCAAAAGCTTTAATTGTTCGTAGCGAAACTAATTAGCTAGTGAGTTAGAATAGCGGTGGCCTTCCAATCGATTAAGGATTTGTTTTGGTACAAAACTTGTGAATTATTTCCGTTTATTGAAAAGTGATTATTCTGTGTCTAAGTTGTGTTATTTATGTCAGCAGAATAATGTGTGATACTAGTTTATAGTTTGACAGTTAATTGTGTTTCTTTGCGCGTTTCGGTGAGTCACGAAATTGTAACGAGATTTAAGAGTAGCGACTTAATCCGCGTTACATTGTCGTGTGTTATTTATTTATTGTGTAACGTTATAATGTATTGTAGCTAAAACAGAATACGCTTATAAGTTGATAATTTACTGTTGATCGTAGTTTCATCTTGTTATCTCGCAATAAATATGAGTAGGTAGTGGTATACGGTATGTATTTAAATATATTTCAATGCAGTATAAAGTAACGTTAGGTTTTATGATAATTCGAAACAAAATTATGATCTCTGTTTGCTCTCAAGAAGTTATGCATTTGTTTGTATGTATATCTGTTAACATAATATATACATTTATATGATCTGGGACTGTGTATTTGTGTACCCACGTAATGCAGGATATTATGATTATGTACTTACTATCTTAGATGTTGTAATATTACGTAGAGGTTATTAAGCCGAGTATTTATAACTAAACATGTCACGTACTTTAGAAATCTAGTGTTGTTGAAGTTGCAAAAATCAACTTTAATGTTGCGAGCAGTATTTCTGGTACAAGTATTTTGATAACTAGTAACGGTATTGTATTTTCGAACAAAAATATTCTATATAACTTACTTATGTATATAAAAACCGTCAATATACATCTACAAATTTTGTTAATGTATGTAGGTATACAGTAAAGATATAAATACGTTACTATACATCAAACTATTTGTCCTAAATTAGTTTTCCAGTAGCAATTGTATACTTAAAATCAATTAGAATTTTAGAACTTGGTTGTAGAAAATCTTGCCATAACATTTGTTTGTTCGATACGTTTTATTAAAAAAACATATTTGAGCATTAATTCAATACGTGAATCTTATAACGAATTGATTATCTTATTGGCTGTATATTCTATAAATAGTAAGAGACAAAATGTGTTAATTGGTATTTTATAAAACAGTGCCACTACGGTACATCAATTAGTCACAATGCCGTGTCATTAAAAAATTGATATAGCCATGAGAAATATATATCTTTCATTTATTTTTATTACGACAAATTCCATTTTTATAGCTGTCTCTATGCTATGTGTAAAAGGTTTTTCTTCATATTGTGAACATGTAATTTGTTTTTGAAACTATTGAAAATATATTAAATAATAATACTATTATATTAAAGTCGTATAATACGTAAAATTTAACATAATACATTGTAAAATCATTTGACTGTTCAATATAAGTATTTATTTCTAAATATAATTCTGATACAGGTATATTCTCTTATTTAATTATCCTGTTACAATAAAATATGTACCTACATAGTTACCTTACATTTTCTTATTTCTTAATATAAACAAAATTATTAATCTTGTTTTTAACAATTCTGATTATTTACTGAAAATAGTTCAAGAAATTGTCGACCATATTTCACATGCTCAGAGATATATATTCTACAATTGTACAGATGTCATCTGATTGTATTACACGGCTGTAAATTCATAATTATCGCTAACACTAAGACGATGTTGACTTTTTTTTATTATTTAGAATATAATATAAAGGTTAGTCGACGTTACAAATTGTCAAAATAATTCCTTTTTGCAAAAATAAACAATAGTACGTTTGAACATTTTGTTTTCCTTTTCCTTCAACTAAACTGATTTATTTTGATAAAACTAGCTTCTATCAGCGGCTTTATCAATTTATTAACGGTTCCCGGCAAAAACTAAGGCTTATTTTATAGGGGGAAAATCATGTGATTACTAGTCCCGGTTAAGTGAGAGGGAGTGTCAGATTCTTACTGATTAAAATCCTCCCTGTTCCTACTCCTGCTCTTCGAGCCGGAGCCCCGGCAATCCGTTAACCTTTCCGCGGCTCCGTATCGGGCATCAGCTCTCCTGCACCCTATCTGTGGTGGTCTGATGGGTCTTTTAAAATTATGGCCTATGATTTATTTCAGATTCTAATCTATCTCGTTTCAAAACATCACTCAGATTCGTTTAGTAGTTTTGTGTAAAAGAGTAAAAAACATAAATGCTTTTTATATAAACTATCTTTGTATTATAATTTATAACTTTCGTGAGACATACTAAATTAATAATTATGTTTTCGGCTTACTCACGTAATTATTTGACTAGTTTCAAGCCATGCTAGACGCTCATATTCATGTAAATTAAAATATGTATTTTAAAATACCCAAGATAATAAATAAAAAAAAATGTTAATTTATTACTGTGGTTTTCTATTTTAATCCTATTTTTTTAATTACAGTATTTTTAATGTTTTTCCTATAAGGAAACTATATACAAGGTCTGTATCTGGAAAATATTAATTAATAGTTATGCACGCGACTTTTCCCATGTTAAAATCTGTGTAAATTGGATGTATGATTGCAGATTGATCAATAAAACATTTTATACAGACCGTTGAAGTAGCAAGTCGCTTAACATCTAGATTAACTTTTCTAAGAATATAATAAACTACCATATGTGTATTGCAATCATCCGTTGATCGTTTTCAACAAACAGACTAGTATCGTAATACCTTGTCCTTGCTAAGGTTTTATCGTGTACCGTGTGGGGATCGAACCCGTACAACATAGTCATAAAGATGTGGGGTTTATAACATTACTGAATAAAAGTTGGTGCATTAAGTGATGTAATAGGTAAGAGAATTAATAAATATATAGTGATAGAGATAGAAGATATTCAATAAAATAGATATATTGAGAGAGGAAAATAAGGTGAGTTTGTTTATGTTGAAGAAGAAGCTAAGGGGAGAACTGCTTAAGAGAGCATAGGCAATGCATTCTTTGATGACTATCCTTTATAATGTGAATTTTTTATTTTTGTTTTGATTTCAGTTTTCGTTTAATGTCATATAAAGTACTTAATTACCTAGTAAGAATAAGGAATGAGCGCTTCTCGCCGTTAAACTATATGTTTGTCGAGGATCTTTAATTATAAGAACAAAATGTTATTCCTAAAATTGTACTTTTGTTAAATAAAATAAAATTAAATTGGTCACAATAATTACCTATATTATATTATGTTTCAACTATCAGCTATGTAAAATGACAATGTCTTAGTGATTTTCTTTCGGCTTCCTGTTAATATCTATTTAGATTTCAAGATCTCAGTGTGGTATATATACAAGCTTAAGTAGATTAGAATGATTGACTATAACTTTATATGTAACATTTCAATTTTTAATATTTTGTGCTGTAATATAATATAACCTCTTAATTGAGAGATTTTTCGATATTCCCAAAAAACCTGTAATATTTTGTACCTAATTTAGTTATACTATTCTTATGCACGCTACAGATGTTACGAAACACGAAAACTGTACAGTTTTAACTGTACAACTAGACAGTACGTATAGTTACACCGTAACTTGTGTAGGCTGTGTGGACTTATGATTTAAATGTGCTGTTTTATCTGTACAGTTGGATTGTACAGTTGAATCGCATTGTACATTTAAAATTGCACGAGTTTTCTATCAATTCTCGTAAGGTGTGTAGGCTGGATGGACCTACGATTTAAATGTGCAGTTCAACTATACAGTCGGACTGTACAGTTACATCGTAAGTTGTATAGACTCCATTGAGCTGCGGTTTAAATGTGCAATTTTAACTGTACAGTTGAAACTGTACAGTTTTTCTATCAATTATAGTAAGGTGTGCAGTGTGCATTAGGTAAGGCTACAGGATAAAAATACACTAAAGAAATAAAACAACAGATATACACATATAATATTGTTTATTAAACAGAAGCTTATATTACTTCAGCGATGCACGACTACCAATGACAACCCTTCTCACTTGGATGGAATGCTTACCAATTACTTCTCTTCTTCTTGGTTGTATGGGGTACAAATAGTTTTAAACATTATTCTCTTAGTTTTAAGGGTGGTAATTGTATTTTCATTATTTTAGACAATTGTGTGAGTGGTAATAAATGTAATTTTTTTTATAACGATAGACTCACATTGCAGCAATGTACAGGCTGAGATATGTATATTTGGATTAGTTCACTGTTTGGTTATTAGTTGTCCCTTATACATATTTTATGTGAGTTTCTTAGGCTCGTTTCTTTTATTATTAGTAGAGTTAATACGAGTTATCGTCCAAAAGGTTAAAGGTTAAAAATTAATTAGTGATGCAATAGATGTTTGCTTGTATTTATTTCATAGGATATTTAAATGCTTCTCTGTAATTTCATTACTATCGTAGGAAATAAAATCAACCCGATGATTGCTATTGAACAGTATGAGTAGTAAAATAAAAATTGATGATTGGAACTGTATCCGAAATGGTAACCCGTGAGTTGCACTTTTGGAAAACTTAGCCATATTTCACAAAAATGTATTAAAATTAAAGGTCTATTTTCCTTTCTCCTTAGATGTTATTATTAGTTCCTATTGCATCACTAATGATGTTAAGTAGTCCTTCAAATATATATTTAAATACATATATTTTGAGCCTGGTTTCTCTTTAATACACGCTTGAATTACATACAAAGTTGTTAATACGATACATCACACATAATAATTACAATGTCATTTTATAAGGCCGTATCAATGGATTTTCTATTAATTTTCATCGGTAACATGTTCCTTTGGATGAAATATCAGGTTTTTGAAAGTATCTGCCTGGATATGGGAGGTCTCTTCGCTTCAAAAGTCCTAGCGAACGGGCCAAAAATCGCTAGGAATTAAATTTATATGACCTTTTTTGTTTGGGTAAGAAGTTTCTTAAATATGTAGTTTTATGGTCTTTATTGCTTTTTTAATCTTGAACGTGATTTTTAGTAATCATATTGGAATTGCTATAGAATTTTGATGCAGACATCTTCAACTGATTGAGCTGAAATGTTGTATACATGTTTAGTTTTCATGACTATAACTGCTGTTTGCAATTTGAACGATGTAAAAACTTGTATTGAGATTAGGTATCGAAGTATCTTCTATTTTTGATCCTCAACTGATATAATTGGTTTACGTGACACAGGTGCTGTCTTAAGTATGCAAATTTGCACTGCGTACGAGTCTATGACGTGGGAAGGTAACGTCAGAGCAAAACGGATCTAGTATATCATTGGTTAATTAATATTTCGCGCTTGTTTTGGATGTGTTAATCATTTTTGGGACATGACGTTTAACAATGTTTTATTTAGTTATGGTGCCAAGTATTTAGTTTGGATGGTTTTTAGTTTGATTGATAATATTGTTAAGTTTAGTCATAATTTATCGTTAGGTGGTGAAGTAAGTTTTTCCTAGACAGTTAGTGGTAGATTACACTTTTGCCATATTGCTTATTTTTGGATTTGTTATATGAACTTATCCGTGATTGGTTTCTTAAATTCTGTCAAATGCATGTGGGGGTGGTAAAAGACATTTGATTTTTGTGTTTTGATTTTCAATTATTGGTTTATTTATTCGGCAGTGGTGATTAAAGATCGATTCGATTAATATTGGTTGTCATGATTAATATTTTTACCAATACTGCCTATTATTTTAATTTGTTTTATTACTTTTAATATAGTTCTGGTTCAAGGTCTTGTAGCTTTTGTAAGATGTAAGATGTTATGGTCAGTTGTTCTTTAGAGGTTGTAACGTCATTTTGAAAACAGTTTGAATTGATTTCGTATAATATTTTGTTTGTAGTATGTTCCTTTTAACTTTTGTATTGTGGAGCTTTTCGAAATAATTATCATCGTTTGCTGTTATTTTGTGATACAAATATTTTTGTAATTATTGCTTTTTCTGTACGTCTTATTAGTCTTTGGTATGTTTGTTTGTCATATCTCGTGGTTCAGAAACTTGTAGCCTGTAGCTTACTTTGTCTTCAATATTTTTTATTTTCAATTTATTGATAATATTTTCCTTTGACTTAGGCTGTTATTTTTTCAGTATTCAAATGGTGTTTGAAATACATACTTTTCATTCGTTTTATATAGGTATGTCATTTTAGTTAATATGTTGTTTCATTTTAGCTAATTATTGTGTTCTTGTGTTAACAAATCCTTTCCCGTATATCCTGATTTCGTGATAAATCGTAACTTTTGATTTAGTTTCATGTATTGTAATTTGTCTCGTTTTTTAAATACTGATTGGCGTTGTGAAAAATTTTTATACAATATATTTTTTTCAAATTTCAATTCCAGTCATCTGTACCTACAATTTTACTCGA